TTAAAGAGACAAGTGACAGAATCTGATTCCATGTTAGAAGGCTTACCCTGCTGCTTTGAAAACAGAATGTGGGGAAGCAAGGACAGAAGCCAGTAGACCTATTAGAAAGCTATTGCAGGAATATGGGCTGGAGAAGATGGCATCTCTGATCAGAGTGGCAGCGGTGGAGGTGGTAACAGTGGTAAAACTCTGACCTGAAGGTAGAGACGTCTGGGTTCCTGATGGAGGACTCCAGTGTTGCAGACTTGAATGACTGAAAGCATAGTATTTTCCTTAATGGACATAGAATCTTATGAGTAGAGCTGGTGAGGAGGGAGGTCAGGAATTCAGTTCAGCACATGTTAATTATGAGATGTCTATTAGACATCCAGGTGGGGATGTCAATGGTCAATTAGTTATGAATCTGGAGTTTAAGAGGTTCAGGCTAGAAATATAAATTGTGAGTCATGGATATATATGCAAATTATTTAAAGCCATACGATTGGAGATAATCAAAAGGAATAAATATACATAAAGGCCTGAGGTCTGATACACTCCAACAGAATTAGAATAGTGGTCCATTCTATCTTAAGTTAAAGTTTTCTCCACTTTTGTTCTTCAAAGGAGAAGCTGGATTTATTAAGAAAAAATTTCCCATGCAATTAAAACAAAAGAGCAATGGAGTCTTATTTGGTACTGGAATGATTTGGCGCCAAATTCAAGAAGATCAGAGCTCAAAATGATGAAGGAGCCTGTCTGAAATAGCAGCACAACTGTCAAAACCAACTCTGAATAAATGCGACTGTATCAACAGAGCAATTTTTTTTTAAAGTCTATTCTACACACCAACACTCTTCCAATTAAAGCAGGTCTTTGGCATACCATCCCCATTACTGGAAATTATCTTGGTGCCTCTTACTGCCCACATGCTAAATTCTTATACTTTTCTTTCCATAGGAAGTTGTCCATAATCATAACTCAAATTAAAAGCTCTTTTGGCTTTTCCAGTCGGTCTTGTCTCAGGCTCTACGTGATCCTGTCTCACATTTTCATTCTATTTTAGGGTAGTTCACTGAGCTCTGAATATTTAAGAAAATAATATTTCACATACAAAGAGTCATCACTTTTCTTTTTCCTCTTAAAATTTTGAAAAAAAGAATAAAAAGGTCCCATGAAAGATGTATCATTTTAAGAAAATAACATACTTACTGGATCCAGAAATATATTTTCTAAGATTTGAAGTAAAATGTTTTTATCAGGATAAAATCAATAACAATAGAATCTCATTGTAAAAGCCAAAAGTGCACTCCTGAATTAAGTATCTTGACATTCACTAAATGCCAGCAGTAAGGTTGAAATTTTGAAGGGCCCATTAAAGAAAACTTTCCACTCAGCCTAAGTGTGGCCAGTTAGTACTGAAAATAATGGACTTACTGTTTGATATTTAGTGAAAACTTTAGAAAAGGTATCAACACAAAGGGATTTCTTTGGAAATATATGCAGATGAAAATGCAAGCTTTAAAAATCTACTATAAGCTCTACTGTCAGGCTTAATCAGATATTTTAGTTGTCAGAGAATGACTATACATGCTACTCATGGTTTGCCAATTTCCCGAGAACAAAATGACTTTAACAAAAACATGGTACTGAATATAATTCAGTGTTCAGAAGAAAACTCAAAATCATGCCTAGCTCTCATATCAACCTAATCAGCAGTAATCATCTTGCCAGAGAATCTGTTAAGGAGAGGACTGTTGATGAGTGGTACCAATTGATATTGAAAGACTCATTACACCAGCTAATGATGTTACAGGGAAAAAAACAATAACTTACTTGATTTCAAACCATATTAAATAGAAAAAAAATGTAGGTGTGATTTTATCAGCAAAATAAATTAAATCTTATCAGTAAAATAAATGAATTAAAAGTGGAAAACAGAAATCACGATATACAATGGCACTTACTTGCTCAATCCTGAGGTAACGCTGTTTAACTAAGGAAATCATCGGACTGCTTTGTAAAGAGGCTGCATGATTTTACCTTCTACCATCACTGAATGAAGGTTCCGATTTCTCCACGTCCTCACCAGAACTTATTCTTATCTGTCTTTACGATTATAGCCATACTAGTGGGTGTGAAACAGTATTTTACTGTGATTTTGATCACCATTTCCTTAGGGACTTAAAAATGTTGAGCTTCTTTTCATATGCTTGTTGATCATTCGACTAGCATCTGGAGAGGCAAACAAAATTCTCTGTGCACTCTGAATAGCATGTCCTTTTGGGTGGGTCAGTCATGAATAGTTTGGAAATCTGGAGTGCAGAGGGGGCCTGTCACCCTACAGACAGAAGAGAGAGTATCATTCCAAATATGCTGTGGTTCAGACTGAGTATGTATGTTGATAAAAAGGCTTAGCACATCACTCTGTTTGTCACTTTCTTAATTAATGTGTGTTGGTGGCATAAGCCAGTGACTTTTTTATATTATTGTACTTAATTTGAGCAAAACCATATGGTAAATATTATCTCTTCCTATTTTTCAATGTAAGGCTCAGAGGAGTCAAGTGACGGGCTGAGAGTTATTGGCTAGTGTTATTTTTTTTTAACTTTTTTTATTGAGTAATAGTCATTTTAAAATGCTGTGTCAAATTCCAGTGTAGAGCACAATTTTTCAGTTATACATAAACATACGTATATTCATTGTCACATTTTTTTTCTGCTGTCAGCTACCGCAATATCTTGTATATATTTCTCTGTGCTATACAATATAATCTTGTTTATCTATTCTACATTTTAAAATCCCAGTCTATCCCTTCCCACGCCTTGCCCCCTTGGCAACCACAAGTTTGTATTCTATGTCTATGAGTCTGTTTCTTTTTTTTTTTTTTTTTTTTTAGATTCCACATATGAGTGACCGCATATGGTATTTTTCTTTCTCTTTCTGGCTTACTTCATTCAGAATGACATTCTCCAGGAGCATCCATGTTGCTGCAAATGGCATTATGTTGTCAGTTTTTGTGGCTGAATAGTATTCCATTGTATAAATATACCACTTCTTCTTTATCCAGTCTTCTGTTGATGGACATTTAGGCTGTTTCCATGTCTTGGCTATTGTAAATAGTGCTGCTATGAACATTGGGGTGCAGGTGTCATTTTGAAGTAGGGATCCTTCTGGATATATGCCCAGGAGTGGAATTCCTGGGTCATATGGTAAGTCTATTCCTAGTCTTTTTTTTTTTATTCCTAGTCTTTTTGAGGAATCTCCATACTGTTTTCCACAGTGGCTTTCCTTGCTTCCCTCTCCTACTTTTAATGATTTAGATGTCTTCTTTTACAATTTTGTGTTTATCCTATTTGTAATTCATGGTAGTTATCACCTTTCCAGTTATGAGTTTCTCATTTTTGTAGCATCTTACTTTTCTATTTAGTGTAGAGCTATCAATATTTCTTTTAGCGTGGGTTTAGTGTTGCTAAACTCTTTTAATTTTTGCTTGTCTGTGAAGTTCTTTATCTCTCCTTCTATTCTAAAGGATAACCTTGCTGGATAGAGTATCCTAGGCTGCATCTTTTTTTCATTCAGGACTTTGAATATTTCTTGCCACCCCCTTCTGGCCTGTAGTGTTTGTGTAGAGAAATCAGCTGAGAGCCTTATGGGGGTTCCCTTGTAACGCACTCTTTGTTTTTCTCTTGCTTTCTTTAGGATCACTTCTTTATCCTTGACTCTGGCCATCTTGATTATGATATGTCTTGGTGTGAGTCTGCTTGTGTTCTTCCTGTTTGGGACCCTCTGACCCTCCTGTACTTGGATGTCTGATTCCTTCTTTAGGTTTGGGAAGTTTTCAGTCATGATTTCTTCAAATACCTTTTCAATCCCCTTTGTTCTTTCTTCCCCTTCTGGAACCCCTATTATGTGTACATTGGCATGCTTTATATTATCCCGTAGGTCCCTTATATTGTTTTCATTGTTTTCATTGTTTTTTATTTGTTTTTCTCTCAGC